CCTCACCGGCCCCACCCCTCATCCCCTTCCTGGTGTTCTGACCACCCTGCACCCGTCCCCCTGCCCTTTTCCTTCTTATTTTCTAGCTGTTACAAGCCAGAGGCACCCGGATGTGAGGCCCCACGTCACCTCCAGGGACTTGGGGTTCCGATCTGAAGTCCTTTGTTTTTGTACCAGAGGGTGGGCCCCCAGCTCAAGGTGGAGGAAGTGCGCTTCCCACTGCCGCCTCTGTCTACACCTACGGGGCTGTGATCCACTCCTGCCTCCCTGGGGGGCCCTGGGACCCCTGGGCAGAGCCGCCTGCCTCTGGCCCAAGTATGGCACTGTCCAGCTGTGTCTCCCAGGCCCCTGTGTCCTGTCCCCTGAGACCCCCAGCTGCATGGCGGATACAATCCCTCCTGGCCCAGTCATATCACCTCCTTGAGCCTTAGTCTCCTTGTCTGTGAAATGGGTTCTCTCTTCCCCCACCTACCTCACAGGGTTGTTGTGAGGTTACTTCTAAGGGGAGCAGGGTCCCAGAAAGCCCTCCCTCAGGGAGTAGATGCCAGATACAGAGCAGCCCCCTCCACTCTTCCCTCAGAGGGAAGGACCATTGTAGCCCCAGGTGAGGTCCAGGTATTGAGGAGGTGATGAAGGGGGTGGGGTCAACTGTCTCAAGGGGGGTGGGTGACTTGGCCTTCACCTGGACTGCTCCCCCCACCCCATATTGCTGGAGACAGAGTGCCTCAGCCAGGAGCAGGCCAGCAATGCTCAGCAGGGGCAGTGGGGCCACTCAGGAACTGGTGAGAAGGAAGAGGGGGACCCCCTTTGTTCAGGGGCCTCCTGCCCGTGTGACTTCTCAGCTGGGTACTTCCTGGCTGTGTCTGGCCCCACCACGTAATAAAATCTGAAGAAATTGGGCCTGGCCACCTACCTCCCTCTCTCTGGCTAATTGTTGGGGATGGGCTAAACTCAAGGTGGGGTAGATGACCCAAAGGTAATGAGGCTTTTCCCTAAAGCCCAGGGACCCTGCACTGTCGACTGTCACTCCCCTGTGGGTAGGGAGCTCATGGCTGGATCCTCTGCCCAGACATCGAGGGCATCAGTTTTGCCTGGCTGGTGCCCACCCCACTCTGGGCCTCTGTTTCCTCATTTATGAAACAAGGGGTTGGACCACGTGACTTCAAGGCTAGGCCAGCCGGGTTTGCTGAGGGGATAGGGAGTTGGGCTCCAGGAGAGCAGGTCCTCCCAAGCCTCGCTCCCTGTCCTCCCACTTCCCAGCCTCACTCCACTGTCCAGAAGATGCTCTGTGTGCTGACTTCACTCTGTCCCATGGAGGCCACCTCTGTTCCATCCCAACCCCCTAGGACACTCCTGCTTCCTGCTATGACAACTCAAGTCTAGGTCTCTGAGGCTCCCCTTCTCTCAGCTAGGCTTCAAGAAAGGCTGGTCCATACCGACTCCCCCGTCCTCAGCTCTGCCACTGCACCCAGGAGGTGCCAGGGACCCAGGGCCTGCCCTGTGGCCCTCTCTGACCACCCCTACTGATGCCAGGGCCTTGGTGCTGACTCCACTCCTCGGTTTCCCTCCAGCCTCTGGCCATGTCCTCAGCCTGCTGTCTGCAGTGTCTGTCTCCCACAGCCTCAGTCTCCCCAGACCACCTGCCATGGGGGATGGCTCTGGAATCCCTCCCATCTCCCTCAAGCCCTACCTGCGCCCTGGATACCTCCCTCCTAGAGGTGCCCCAAGTTCATGTCACCCTCCCATAGCCTTTCCCTCCCAGGTACCCCAGCTCAGGCAGCGGGTCTTCCACCAGCCAGCTGCTCAGGCAAGTCCCCCAGGAGTGGTCCTGGGTGACTTCTTCATCCACCCCACCTACCGAGGCACTTGGTGGGTAATGAGGGTCCTTCAACCCTGTGTCCTTCCCCGCAGGCCCCATGCTGTTCTGCCTGGGCTTCTGCAGTGGCCTCCTCGCTGGCCACTTTATCTCCCACTCCCTCCACACTATGCCAGTGGTGGTTCTAAAATGTGAATCCACTCATGTGCCACTCCCCTGCTATAGAGCCTTCCATGGCTCCCCGGAGCATCCGGGTCAAGTCCTTAGCTCAACTCCAAGCTCTTTAACATCTGATCTGTTTGCCCCTCTCCCAGTTCCTCTTTAGTCCCCCGCTCCCCCCAATCTCTGTTTAACTAAACAGCGTACTATTCACTAATATGCCATGTTCTTTTGGGACACTACCTTTGCACATGCTGTTCCCCTGCCTGGAATGCCCTTCCCCACCTTGGCCTCCTTGGAGCCTGACTCGAGTCATCTCCGGGCAGCCTTCCCTGACTTCCTGAGTTAGGGGCCACTCCAAAGCCTTCACACTGTATGTCATCCCCACCCCTTGAGATCAGGAGCCAAGTTCTGTGAATGGCTGTGGCCCCAGCACAGTACTTAACACTTAGCAGGGATCTGTGAGATGCTTGTTGGGTAAAGGACTCAGGATGCAAAGGGAGAGTTGTGCTGGCAGGAGGTGGTAGACTAGGAGCCAGGTGACAGGGCTTCTGCACCAGGCTGCACTCCTAGCCCCTGGTGTGATCATGAGCACATCTTTGCCCCTAGGGTCACCAGCCATTGCCTTCCTAGGGTAGCTCCTGGGGCCTGGGCAGCTATCCAGGAGGCCACCCTGCCTCCTCTGACTCCACAGTGGCCTCCGGACAGCTGGCAACCAGGCTGAGTAGGAAGCAGAATCTGCTCAGTCAAGGGTATGAGGTTGGTGCCCAGAGCCTCATTTAATCTCCAAAAACGGGCCTCAGATCAGGCGGTTTTATTCCAGGCAGCTGAGCTCACCAGGTGAGTGGACATTGGAGGCCCGGGGGCAGGTGGGGGTGTGGCAAGAACCCGGGACCCAGGGCTCCCCCACCCTTTGGCTCACAGTGGCAGCTGCCCACTTGGCTGTCTCCAGGCCTCTGAGGGCACCTCCTCGGGGCACCCTCCACCCCGACCTCTCAAGTTAGGCTGGGGCGACACTGGCTGGAATCTGTTCTCTGGAGTGGGTACTCCCAGGCAGCCTCTGCATTGGGGGTGGGGTGGGGCGGGGTGGAGGCTTCAGATGCTCCTACTGCGACCTGGAGGCCACATCCTCATTGCTGAACAGTTTCCCCCCAGAGTCAGCAGTGGAGGACAGGGCAGGAGAAGAGAATCGAGAGGCGACAGGCTGGATATGAACCCACCAGCCAGGCCCGGGTGACCATCCGGGCACTCGGGGAAAGTCTTGAGCACCAGCTGAGGGCCCTCCTCCCTCCTCGTGCCCTCTCTCGGGTGATGTCAGGGAGTAGGCTGGGGGACAAGATGCCACTCCTTCCACAGGGCCCCACGGCCCCAGAATACTTGTCCCCTGCCTGATGGGTGCCCTGGGCTCTCTGAGTCCAAGAGGTGGGCCCTAGCTCTGCAGGGGGCAACTCCTCAGGTCAGCACCTGCTGGATCCAGCCAATCACACCTGTGATGCGAGTGTAGACACCAAAGTAGTTGGGCCGGCCGCAGCCCAGGCCCCAGCTGACCAGCCCAGCCAGGAACCAGCGGCCACTGGGCTCCCTGCACACCAGTGGGCCGCCCGAGTCACCCTGAAGGGAGAGAGGAAAGGCCTACATCAGGGTAATGGCACCTCGATTCCGGGACAGGATCCTGACTGCTGGAGTTTCTGAGTGACAGCAAGAAGGTCGCATTGCCTCTTGAAGCCTCAGCTTCCCCTGTACCCTGACCTGGCCTTCAGCGTGTCCTGACTGGCCTGGCACTGGGGACCTGTGTCCACATGCTCCATCCACCTCTGCCTCCCTCTGTGGGCTTGTTCTAGTCCCCTCTACTGTGTCACCTCGGGCAAACTGTCTTGCCGCGGGAGAGGAGCAGAACCAGGTTTGAGCCTCAGACCTGCCTGCCCACCACAGATCTCCCGATCTGTGGCCTGCAACCTGGGGCAAGTCCCTCAACCTCCTCGAGCCTTGGTTTTGTCAGCTGCAAAGTGGTGGCAGCCATTGACCTTACTGGGGGCCCGGGAAGTTTCGGCAAGTTGATGTGAGCAGATGGCCAGGCCCTGGGTGACGGGAGTGTCGCCCTCTCCCTCCTCTCCCCCAGCCCATGGGAGTCACCTGGCAGGCATCCTTCTTGCCCTTGTGGTAGCCGGCACACAGCATGCGGGGCGTCACCTGGTAGCGGTAGGCCTCACTGCACAGGTCCTGCGGGATCAGCTGCACGTCCACCTTCTGCAGACCGTTGCTGGTGGGGCCTGCCCGGTGCCGTCAAGGCCAGAGGGCAGAGGTGAGAAGATCCGAGATGCCCAGGAGTCCCCTCCCTTCCTTCCCAGTTTCCTTTGCATCTCAGGAGCAGCCTCTCCTGCTCCACCCACCCCTGCACCTCCGCCTCATGGTCACTCTGTTCGGGCTCCTGTGTGGCCCACGGGCACAGACCTCTACCCAAAGCCTGTCTGCACTGGTGTCTTCTCCACCTTTTCCTCCCCTTCCTCCTGCTCAAGGCTCTTGCTGCCTCCCCTCTGCTCTCTGACAGCCCTGGGGGATTTTTCCAGAGCCCACATCTGACCCCTCCACCCTCCCTCTAACTCCTCCGCATCTCCCCACTGTCCAACCCAGCGCTTCTCAGCGAGGGCTGCGTGTGAGCCCCAGGAAGCTCCAGTGTGCACGGCGCCTGTTCTCGCTCAGAGCTGCTCGCCTGGGGTGGGGCCGGGGCACCGGGATTTTTCTTGACTCCTGCAGGTGGTTCTAAAGCACAGGGCAAGGTCCTTCCCAGATCCTCGCCCAGGTCCACCTGCCCCACTTCCCTCTGGTGCTGGGTGTTGGCCAGGCTCCCCGCGTCGCTTTCCTGGGAATGCCTTTCCCCTGTTCCAGGGCACTGCCAACACCCTCCACGCCTCAGCTCAGCCCACCCGTCCCCTGGAAGCCTCCCTGGCCCGTTTAGTTGCCGCCTCTGAGCGGCCTCTGCTGCCACCCAGGTTAGCCCTTAGCACACTCTCATCTCAACAAATGTTATCTCTTCCTCTGTATATCCCCTTGGCCCAACGCGATGTCTGGCGTATAGTAGGAGCTGATAATTGTGTCATTGAATGAGTGAGTGAATGAATGAGAGCCAGCCTTTGCTTCACCACTGTTCTCGGTCATCTTCTTGGACAAGTCACTTTTCATCTGAGCCTGTGTCATTTATAAATGATTTCTGCAGTTCTGCCTCCACATTGTAAATCCTTATGCACATTTTAAAAGCCACCACCACCACGAAGGGCACAGGGAGGGCATGGCTGTGGTTCTGCCAGCCCAGGCCTGTGTTCATAGAACTGAGGTGACCTCTAGGGTCGGCTGGCTCCGGTCAGTTTAGGCAGGAAGGGGAGAAACCCCCTGTATCTGAGAGGCCATAACAGGAATAGCAGGAGCTCGGGTCAGGCAGTCCTGGGTTCCAGTCTCTGCTCCAACCCTCTCTGGCTATGTGTCTTTGAGCAATTGCTAAATGTCTCTGAGCCTCCATTTCTCCATCCATAAAATGGGGCCATAATACTCACCCTGGGGTTACTGGGTGGGTTAAATGAAATCGTGTTCCCCTAAAATCCAACTTTAATTAAGAGCCTCTCCTGCCTTGCCCTCCAACACACACCCCAGAGGCCCTCCCTCCCCCCGCCTTGACTCCAAGGAGCAGAGGGTTGGAGCTTGCCTGTGGGCTGTGGGGTTCCTGGCCTGGCCCTTTACCCCACACATAGCCACCAAGATAACCTCCCATGACTTTGGTTCTCCTTAATGCCCTCCCAGGAAGAAGGGAAGGGCCAGAAGGGCGGGGACCCACGGGTAGTAAAAGACTCTTGTTCTGTGAAATCCAACCCAACTTAATCCCAAGACTTGCAGGCCTCAGGGGTGGAGCCCTGGGCCCCCCTCGCCCCGCCCCGGCAGGCTAGTCCGCACCCCACAGGCCCGCTCACCCCCCTCGCGCAGGGCGCCCCAGCCGGTGATCCAGCAGTGCAGGCCGGGCTCGAAGAAGTGGGAGCGCGCGGGCAGGCAGACGGGCCGGATGGCGGCCGAGTGCACCACGGGGTGGTCCAGCTGCAGCAGGGCCACGTCGTAGTCGTGGCTGTCCTCCTCGTGGTAAGGGTGCAGGAGCAGGCGGCTCACCTTGAAGGACACCTCGCCGGGCCAGCGTGAGCTCTGCCACACCTTGCCCAGGAAAACCGTCCACAGCGCTGGGGAGGCCATGCTGGGGGCGGGAGGGTGTCCTGCTCAGCGGCGGCCTCTCCCACCCCAGACCCTGGAATAGCCAGCTTCCCCGCCTGGGACACCGTGCCCCCACCTGTCCCCCACACCCGCCGCCTCCTGCTCTGGAAGGCGGGGTACCTGGAGGCTGGTACTCATGGTCCGCCCTGGAGCCCGGCTGCCTGGGTTCCAGCCCCACCTCCGCCCTTTTCTAGACAAGTGTGTGCCTCTCTAAGCCTCAGTCTCCTTATCCGTGAAATGGGAATAGCATCTTCTCCTGTTTCTGGGGAATGCAGTAAGACTGTATGGAAAAAGGAGTCCAGGGCTGGCCTGCCTGGGGTCCCAGAAGGTAGGGCTGGGTGGAAAGGGGACATTGCAAGGCCACCCCCATGCACAGCCCCTGGCACGTAGCAGGAGCACAATACACACTGCTGAGTGGATGCATGAGCGAATGAATGAGTAGATCTCTGATACAGCTTAAAGCAGGATACCAAAAGAGCACAGAGAGGCTGAGCAACCTGCCCAGGGCCACAGAGTATGTTTGTGGTGGAGCCGGGACTGAGCCCAACTGTGGAAGCAGGCAGTTTGGGGGGCTCCTCACCAGCCTTCCCTCTGTCTGCTTAGAGCTTAGAGACACTGCACCTCCCTGCTCTGGCCTTCCCTACCCCACCTCTTATGGTCTCGGCGCCACACCCCCCCCTCACCTGTCCTCCTGGAAGCAGTGGGCAGCTGTTATCACCCAGCGGTCAGCGATGAGGGCCCCCCCACAGATGTGTCGGCCCCGAACCTGGAGGCTTGCCTGCCAAGGCCACTCACCCTCCGAGGACACGGCCCCACCCACAATGCGGCCAGAGGGGCCCTGGAGGCCGCAATCTGGGGGTGAGGAGAGAGGGCAAGGAGAGACAGAAGTGGAGCGGCAAGATGGAGGCCAGTGAGGCACAGAGACAGAGAGACAGAGAGACAGAGAAGGGAGAGGGAGAGAGGGAGAGAAGACATGGAGGGAAAGAATGAAGGACCGAGGTGGGATGGAGAGACAGATGGACACCTTGTGAGCTCTTCCTCCAGCTTCCCTGCGTGCGCACCTCCCTCCCTCCCACGCTCTAGGGCCCCTAGGGCCCCGTGGGTGGGAGGGCCTGCTGCACCCCGCCGCCCGAGCCCGGCCACCAGGCAGGGCCGGCTCACCACAGTGCTGCTCATCGGAGCCGTCCCTGCAGTCGGGCCGCCCGTCACACTGCGGGTTGGGCTTCTTCACGCAGCTCCGATCCTCACACTGGAACGTGAACGTCCCACAGGACACCCCTGGGATAGAAGGGGTGGGGGCAGGGCACAGAGGATGGGTCCCTGAGCCCAAGGGAGCCTCCAATCAAGGCCCAGGGAGGACGAAGCCTGGAAGAGGCCAGGAGGTGACTGGTAAAGGGTCTCTTGACCATACTGAAGGTTCCCGAGGCTCCTTCAGTGTCTCCTAAAGGCAGGCTATCCCCCCCCCCAGCTGTTCTGTTGAGAACAAGGCCAAGTCTCCACCCTCAGACGGGCCCCTGACCATAGTGTCATGCCTCCCACTTTGGTGTGGAACCTGAGGGCAGAACTGTGACTCTACTTTCAGACTAGGCTCAGAAGAGCCGGACGTGGCCTCTCCCATCAGACTAAGGCTCTGCCCTTAGCCTGGCAGTCCTCCAGGTCCTGGCCCCACCTAGCCACCCACCTGCTCCTCACTGCTTTACCACAAAGAACTTTCTGCTCCACCGCCTGGTTTTCCCCTGGTCTCCTCTCCTCCCGCCTATTTGAACGTTACCTCTCTTCAGGGCCCAGTTCAAGCCTGCATCCTCTAGGAAGCTTCCCCTGCCTAATCTCCCCACCCTCCAGTCTCCCCATGCTACTGGACATAATGTCCAGAAGGCTTCGGGCAGAGAGAGTCGCCCATCGTGTCTTCCCACTAACAGATAACCCTCCGAGGGCAGGGATCATGTCCCTGGTATCTTTTACTCCCACGGCCTCCCTCTGCCTCACCTATCACTGGGTAGTCTGCAAGTGTTGGTTGGTTGGTCAGTTGGGTGGATGGATAAACCAGTGGACACAGACAGGAGATTGGGCCAACACATGGGTGGAATGATGGTCCAGTAGGGAAACTGACAGACAGCTAGAGGAACGGATAACTGAGAGGATGTGAAGATCAGTGGACAGACAGGTAGCTGGAGAGAGCGGCGGATGCATGCATGCACACATGCATTCCTGGACGCATGGAGAGAACGGAACAGTGCCACACAGGCAGACAGTTGGGTAAACCAGTAAATGGGTAGATTGACCGTTCAATGGACAGGGAGGTAGATGGACAGGCCAATGGGTGGATAAGTTCTGGTTGGAGAGACCAGAAGATGATGGATGGATGGATGGATGGATGGATGGGTGGATGGATGGATGAGTGGACGCACAGATGGGTTGGTAAGTATTTGGACAAGGGAGCAGAAACCTTTGCCAAAGACACATGCAGAAGGGCCGGGCTGCCTGGCTGAGACTCACCCTGTTTCCCCCAGACACATGGCCATACCCCGCCCTACCTTCCTGGCACTGATCTTCATCACTCCCGTTGGGGCAGTGGGGCTGCCCGTCACAGACCCTGGCCAGTGAGATGCACGAGCTGTCCTCTTGGCACTGGAATGTGGCTCTGCAAACTGTGTGGGGACACGGGACAGGTAGGGGGAGCCAGAGGAAGCAGGCTGGGACTCGCGATGCCTGTAGAGCGTGTATGGCCTGTCACAGTCACAAGCCCTTCTCAGCTACTTTACACTCGAGTTTCACAGCAGCCCAGTGAGAGACCCTGTCTCACTGATGAAGACAGGAATGAAGTGACTTGGCCAAGGTCAGCTGGCTCAGCCAGAACTGGAAGCCAGATGTCCTGGTTCCAAATGAGGCACCTTCCCCAGCACCCAGGCAGGATCACCCCAGAGGAAGGCATATCTCCCTTCCCTCCGGCTTCTCTCCCCACATGTTGCAAACTTTGATGGGATAGGGGAGGAGGTAGGTCTGGGAAGATCAGACTAGATTTAGAGGAAGAGGTATTATTCCAAGAGGCTTGGCAACTGCCAAGTCCCTGAGCCTCTTCTGCAGGGCTGGGCAGTGGTGAGCACACCTCCGCAAGAGTTGGCAACTCCAGGCTGAACCCCTGAAGTGGACGGGTGAGAACCCATTCAAGGGAGGGAGATGGAGGAGTCTCTCCTTGGCCACCCAGGGCCTGCCTGCCCCTGCTTAACAGCCTCTCCCTCCTGGGCCTGCCCTCTTGAGTGGCTGGTTGGCACAGAGACTGGGGGTGATGGCCTGATGTGGAGAAGCCCTGAGCTGGGAATCAGGACACCTGGTCCCAGCTTGTCCCTCCCACTGCCCCATAGGGAGGCGGCTTTCCCACTCCGTGCCCCACCTTGCCATCTCAGCACAGAGAGCCCCCCCACTTCTGGAATGCTGATAATGGGAGCTGCACGTGGGGGTCTCTGGTCAAAAGGGTTGGCTCAGCTCAGCGCCGAGATGAGGAGAGGGCAGACTGCTCACCGCAGTTTCTCTCGTCCAGGCCGTTGGGGCAGTCCTTGACCCCGTCACAGGCAGGCACACAGAGGCCGTTCACAGAGCAGAGGAACTCTCCAGGGCAAGCTGGGGTGGGGGAGGTGCCATCAGGACGTGCCATTGTGAAAACATGTAGATGCAGCATCTGTGTGCTACACACGTACCCACATGTACACAGGCTGTGTCCACGGTCCACGTGGACACCCATGTCCAGGCACACGCCAGTGGCACACACGCGGGTATGTATGAGAGCGTACACCTAGCGGACACACGGGACTGCTTTGCACTTACGAGCACACACAAAGCTATATATGTTCATGCACATGCATACACGTGTTCACACACATGGGTGCACACTCGCACTTACTCACACACTCCCTTTGCCTAGCCCCTTGGTGCTCCCAGAGACGGCAGGGCCCGAAGGGGCCGTGGGCTGTGCGGGCGCTGCCCTGCCCGGCCAGCCCATACTCACGGTCCGACTGGTTGTACAAGCCGTAGTGCACCTGCACGCCGGGCCCCGTGAGGGAGATCTGGGAGGTGAAGTTGATGGTGATGCCGGTGCTGGCCACCACGGGAATCCTCTCGGCATAGGGCTGCAGGGTGCGCAGGCCACACAGCCTGGGGTCACAAGAGACAGACTCAGAGCCACTTGGGTCCATCCAAAGGAAGGGACAGCCTGGTCCCGGTGCAGACAGGGCAAGGACAGGGCAGCTGGGAAGGAAGGAGGAGCCATATCCCCACCCTGCCTCCTCCGTCTTGCTTTTTCCCTTGCTGACCGCTCACTCCCAGAGTCATCTTCTAGAAAGCAGCCTGGCTATGTCACTCCCCTGCTCAAAAACCTTCAGTGGCTCCCTATTACCTACAGAATAAAACTCAAAGTCTGGGTGCCACCCATTACCTAGCAATTCAGGACCCTTCTCTGAGCCTCACTTCCCTCCCTTATAAAATAGGATATTTGGTTTCTGTTGACCTGGAATCTGACAATACGACTTGAATGTGCCAGTGGAGGCAGAATCCTGACTGTTCTCTCTGTAGACAGGAGCGGATGTCCCCCTTGTGTTCCATGTAGGGTGAGGAGGCAGCAGAGCTCCGGCTCAGCCACTGTCCCTCCCACAGAGACACCCGCATAGCCCTCTGGTCTCCCTGTGACCCTCTGGGCATGAGGGAGGTACCAGTCCTGCTCCAGGACCAATAGTGCGGTGCTGATGGGAAGCTCCTTCTCTGTGCCTGGCCACTCCTGGTGGGACCATCCCCCAGCCATGAGCACCCCAAATCCCTGCCGGACCCCCTCCCTCCCAAGAAGATGCTCTTATTTCCACAGAGCAGGTGGGAGAACATCCACGGAGAGGACGAGTTCGCCCCAGAGAACAGGTGGGGGTCCCTCCATCTCCACGGTGGGGGATCAGGGAGCTCACCCCACAGTGTCTGGGTGGATCTCACCTCACAGAGCAAGTGGGTGGATGAAACCACACCCCGGAACAGCATGGGGTCCCTGGCTGCTCACAGATGGGATGCTCACAGGAATGCCCCCCAGGGAAGGGAGCCCTTCGCAGGCGAGGGGAGCACGCCCAGAGCGCAGGTGGGCAGACTCCGGAGAGAGGGGAAAGTGCCCCAGCAGAGAGGTAGGAGGAAGCCAAGAGGCAGGGGGAATGCCCAAAGCATGCTGGGAACATCCCACCACGCAGGCCGCCCAATCCCCAGGGGCAGGGTACTTCCACAGGACTTCTAGAACATTCTAAGCACTTCAATTCATTACTCAGCGAGTTAATCAGTGAACAGCTGAGGACCACTTTGGGGCCACGCTAACGTCTCAAAGCCTGGGGCCGGGGCTGCACGCAGCTAGACCTGGTCCCGCTCCTCCCTCAGTGGCTGGAGCATCGCAAGGCCTCGCTGTATAGGGATCTTGAGGTTCCTGAAGCAACGCCACCCTGTGAGGGACGAATTGTCCCCAAGGCCAGAGTCCAGCTGCCTCAGGGCCCAGGAGGACGCACCCAGCCTGCCCAGGGGGAGGTGGGCCCCTACTCTCAGTGCAACGTGAGCTTCAGGGGCTGGGCCCTCACGCCCCCCATGTCCCCGCACAGCCTGGCCTAAGGTACAGCTTGCCACACTGTCTGGCCACAGTGACTGTATTCTTGCCTCATACCAATACGTAGTTCTCAAGGTGAGGTCTGGGGAGCCCTGGGGGGCCAGAGTAAAAATTATTTTCATAACAGTGCTCAGATATCATTTGCCTTTTTAACACTCTCACAATATTACAGTGGAATTTTCCAGAGGCTACATGTTGTGGTATGATAACCAATTAAATGCAAAAGCAAATGTAGGATCCGGCTGTGGTCTAGTAATGCAGTTATTAAAGAAAGTTGCAAGAGTGTGCATTTTTCTCACCAAATGTTATTGGTTTTGGAAAACATAGTTTTTAACTAAGACATGTTAAAATGTAATAGGTTTATTATTATTTTAAATGAATTGGTAAGTATTTTAATTTTTTTTTCAGTTTTAACTTATAATACTGTAAATATAAATTATGTAACCTGTATAAAAACTCTTTGGGGTGCTCAAGAATTTAAAAAAGTGTCAAGGGGTCCTGAGGTGGAAAAGTTTGAGAACCACTGCTCTACACAAGATTGCCACGGCGGGGAGGGGGAGGGGGATGACATGACAGGGACAGGACACAACACGGGAACATGGGACAGGCTTGGTTAAGGTGCCACCAGGGGGCACCCCTGGCCCTTCTGGTCTTTTTAAAACTAAGGAAACAAAGGGATTTTGTCTTCGTTTTTTGTTGGGTTTTTTTTTTTAAGAGAACATTCATTTGGTAAATCACAGAGGTAGAAAAAGTAATTTCTGTTTTTAAAGTGGATAAACAAATGTTATCATAGATTGTCATCCACAGAGAACTGCCCTGGGAGCAGACAGAGGGGCCAGGGGCTGGGAATGCTGGGCAGGGAGGAGTGCCGAATCCAGGGCCTCCCTGAACAAATTCAAGTTCAAGGGTATGGGACGCTGTCCCCACACAGTTCCTGGGGATTGTGGAGAGACTAGAAGGAACCAGAGCCAGGTGGAGGGGAGCGGAAATATTCCAATCTAGAAGAATGTTTCATGGTCGCTCCAAAGTACCAGCTCCTGTGCACAGGATGTGTTCTCAACTGGGGTCCGAGAGAGAATTCCCGAATAAGCTCATGGCTCAACCTGGTACCCCAAGAGCCCAGCCTGGGCAGCATTTGGTTCTCACCCTGGAGGCCTGGGGCAGGGGTGGGTGACAATTCCTGGGGCAAGTCTCTCGGTTACCAGGGGACCAGGCAAGAATTGAAGGCAGAGGCTGCAGGCCAGTTACTCAAGCTGAGTCACTCAACTCAGAGATGATCTGTTTAGTCTATACAAGAGTAGTGTTTTTTCAAATTTAGTTGCTAGCTAATTTCACATCGTAACCTAGATTCTTGTTTCTCCTGAAAAATGAGCCCCAGAAACACAGCTGGTATTTGAGGCCACCTGGACTGGGCAGGACACATGTGGCCCTGCTACCTGTCCCACTCCCCCAAGCGGCCTGCCTCCTGGGCCTGCACTCCCGCCGGCCCCCTGCCCATCTGCCTTTCTGGCTCCTGCTGGGGGAGGGTCTGCATCCTCTAGCTCTCCCACGCCCCCCACCCGCCGAATGCCACCTCCTCAGAAGCCCTCTCCCAGAAGCGCCAGCAGTGGGAAAGCTGTGGGCCCGCCGCTCATCTCAGCCCAAGGTTCTGAAGGCACAGCTTTGCACTATGGTCTGCTGGGTTTTTCACCCGGATTTGGGGCCTTTTCCTTCTCGCCTCAGATGCTAAGCAGGGACCCTCTCAACTGTCTTGCGTACTAGCAACTCCACCCGCACAGGGGGGAAGTCAAGGAAGATTGGATGGCTGGATAGATAGATGGATGAATGGAAGGGCGAGAGGCCAAAGGGAAGAAAG